GAAATGTTGGCTCCCTTTTGTTCGGAGAGGTCGCTGCCGACAGACGCAGGATTGGGGGGGGGGGTCTGGAGCCTTTCTTAGCGATGCCTTTTGGGGATTCGTCTTTCTAGGTTAAAAAAAAAGTGGGGGGAGACTAAGAGGGGCTTTGGCCTGAGCTGCCACGGGCTGGCTGAAGGGCGGCCCTGGATTTTGGGTCGGATGTTGCATCAGGTGATGGAAGGAAGGGGGCCTTGAGGTGGCCGGTGATCTTCGAGGAAGCTTTGGAGAGATCCAGCGCTGTGGAAGACGGATCGTCGGCTAATTTTTTTTATTTTTTTATTTTTTGCTGAAAGAGAGGGAGGATCTGGGGAAAGTGGGTTGGCTTAATTTTACAAAACTGAGGTTTGGGGACCTGTGCTTTCCAGATGAGCTTGTTTTATTTGTATATATCTTTTTTGCAGCGGTGGATTTGCAGTCAACATGGGCCGATATTAAGTACCCCTGTTTTAGGGTTGGATTGTTATAAGGGCAGATTGGTCTTCATTGTGTTTGGTGCACAGTGTCCGTTCTGCCTGCCTGCATCTCTCTCTCTCTCTGGCTCTGTATAAAACAGGCTCATTTTCCTGTTCCTCTCCGGTTCTAACATCACAGGCTCCAACACAACAAAGAAGATTTTGTGGTGTGTTTTTTTTTCCCCCCAGAATTGGAAGGGCCTGAGCTTTTGTCTCTGCCGAAGCTTCACCAGGGTCTGGAGCTCACCTCTTCTTTGTCACGTGTGCGGTTTCTCGGCTGCTGCAATGAAGGGGAACTGCACACGGGCAGTCCGGGAGACAAGAGGGGGTCGTGCTTTTCTCTTTGTGCTCCGAATGAGCTTAAACTCTTGCCCGCCGATGGATTGAATACAACTGTGAGAATGCTTGGATCGGGCATGAGAGCAGGACGAGTGTCACATACAGCATCTGCATGTTTTAACTGGATAGAAAAGCCAGCGGCTTTCTGGAGCTGGGTTGAAGGTGGTTTTCTCCCCCCTTGGGTATTAATAGGTGGAGGCTGACTTTACACCACAGGTAGAACTCCTGCTTCACATTCAGAAAGTTACAGCTGACATTCCTGGCACCTTGGCTTGCAAATGGATCAGGGGAGGGGCAGGAGGTGAAACCTCAGCTGGAGATCTGGGTCGATGTAGGCAGGACTGGGCTAGAACAGAGGTGGGCAAAGTGGGGGCAAAATGCCAGACCCAGCATTCCCACAGACGGTTGTATTTTCTGGTTAGGGCGGACAGGAGATGCAGTGTAGGGACATCTGGAGGGTTGCGCTGCCTTTCCTCTGGGCATTTATTAACCTTGGGCTCTCCAGATGTTTTGGGCTTGAAGTCGCAGAAGTCCTGCCCAGCATGCCCATTCTGGGAGCGGAAAAGCAAAACATTTGGAGGATGAAACATTGATGTCTGCTGATACAGCGTGTCTCCATTGTTCATAGGTGGCATCACATCAAGTAGGTTTTGACTGATGACTGCCCTGCAAATGAATGACCTCCACAAGGTTCTAGCATTAACAGTCCCACTCAAGATTTGCAAATTTTAGGCTGTTGCCTCCTTTATACTGCTTAATAATAACAATACAGTGGCGCCTTGCTAGACAGTTACCCCCGCATGACAGTTTTTTCGCTAGATATTGACTTTTTGCGATCGCTAATAGCGATTCACAAAACAGTGATTCCTATGGGGGAATTTCGCTGGACAATGTTTGGTCCCTGCTTCGTAAACCAATTTTTGCTAGACAACGATTTTGACAGCTCCCTCCGCGCTCGCAAAATGGGTGTTTTCGGGACCTAAGCTTCGCAAGACAGCTATTTAAACAAATGATTGGCGGTTTGCAAAGCGGCTTTCATATGGCCGATCTTCGCTAAACAACGACGATTGTTCCCCATTGGAATGCATTAAACAGGTTTCAATGCATTCCAATGGGGAAATGCTTTTCGCTAGACAATGATTTCGCTAAACAGCAATTTCAGTGGACGGATTATCATCATCTAGCAAGCCACCACTGTAATGTGTCATCAAGTTGATTCTGACTCTCGGTTACCCTTTCCTGTATTTCCTGGGTATAAAGTGCTCAGAAAGGATTTGTTGCACCCTTTTTTCCTCTGGATGCTCTTGGCTTGTGTAGCTTGCTGAAGGCAACGCAGGCTGGCTGTTCTCCCAGGGAAGTGGCCACAGCGGGTAACTGAATTCTCAGCCTTTGGCTCTGCTGTCAGGTACCAATTCACTGAGCTATCCACTGCTATGTACCATGGCCTAAATTCAGTTGGACTTCCTAATTAAAGTAGACCTATTGAATCAGTTGTTGGAAATAAATTATACAGTCAATGTTGAGTGTAAATTAATGTGAATCCCATTTATTCAGTGCTTCTTCTATAGTTGGCACTCCCGTTTGGATGCTGGGATGGAAAGAAGCACACTAGAGACATGTAAGATCTTCACACCCTCTTTATGGTTTCCATGAGTCATTTGACAGGTTGCTGTTGGGAGCAGAATGTTACCCTGTTTCCCTGAAAATAAGACCTAACCTGAAAATAAGCCCTAGTATGATTTTTCAGGATGCTCGTAATGTAAGCCCTACCCCAAAAATAAGCCCCAGTGAAGTGAAACCCTGCCCTACACCATTGTGCAGCCACCAGAAGAAGATGACATGGCTGTATTTGAATCAGTGTAGATGGTTGTACATGAAAAAATTAAAACATCCTCTGAAAATAAGCCCTAATGCACTTTTGGAGCAAAAATTAATATAAGGGGGGGGGACACAAAACTTTTGGAAGTTCATTGATCAGAGGAAGGAAGGCTCTTCTTTGCTTCTGTTAAGAAGCAAAGCAAGTGGATTAAAATGTGCTGGAGGAGGAAATCAGCTGAGCAAGTTGAGAATTAAAGTGTCCTTTTGCAAAAATGCATCTTTTCACCGTCATAATGGCACCTGATGTGAGCAATAATTAAGGATTGTTAGAGGAGCAAACCCCTTTAGTTGAGTTGGTTAGAATCCTTTTGTTTTGTTTTTTTAACTTAATTAGCTTTGTTAAATAAGGTACTGTTATCTCCAAAAGAGTGAGGAAAAAGACTTAAAAATTAAAAGAAATCAACAAAATAGCAGTGTAATCTTTGTATAAAAGAAGTCAGGGCTGGGTAATACCTTGATGGATCACTTTGAAAAAGTGAGTTAATTTTTTTTAGTTCAGAACTCCTAATTTGCATAGGTGGTATAGAATTTAGGGGGTTAGAAAGAAGCAAAATGTCCTCAAAAGTTTTCACCCCCCTCACAAACTTACCTGTATCATTGTCTCAGAAGTAAACTGCAGGCAAAGCAGATGTGCTGTGGGCTGCCAATCCAGTGCAAAACAAGGTGTTGGGGTATTTATTAACTTACAGCCTTAAATATTTAAAGAAGATTTCAGTCGATGTACCATATTTTTCCATGTATGAGACAATACTTTTGTCTAAAACCTTTAGACTAAAAATTGAGGGTCATCTTATAGACGGAAGTAAGCTGTGGAGAGAACAAAAACAAGTGGAGGGGAAAGCAGGGATCAAAGCGATCCTGCAGCGCTTCGATCCCTTTCCCCTTACACTTGCTAAACCCCACGTAGATTTCTTAATTTTGGATTAGAAAAGTGGGTGGCGTCTTATACACGGGGGCGTCTTATACACGGAAAAACGTAAGTCATTTATAATTTGAAAAAGGAGGAAGTCACAAGTGCTGCTTGAATCAAGAGACTGCATATAGATGCTTCACCAGATAAACAGAATAAATATCTTTAACTTCCAGGCCAGTAGATTGAACCATGTTCCATGCACCTGCACTCTGCCATGAAACACTGTTTTTCCTGCTTTTTTATTTAAAACCCCCATTCCAAAGGAGAGGACTTCTGCTTGGGCTCAGTGATTCACTGCACAGAAATCAGCTCTTCTGTAGCGACCTCAGTCTCAACCATTTCTTAACACGTTCTGGTTTGGGCATGTGGTAAGGGCAGTTTTCTTTTGTGCATGGCATAAACTTTTTCGTGGTGCGTTGGGGCGATACTGCTGCAAGAAGAAGGCTTAAATAATCTTTTCCAGGAATTGCCTTGGGAACCGGGGTTGTAGTTGCATAAAGAAAGAGCTTTTCTGTACTTCCTCATTCAACTGCCTCATTAAAAAGTCTGATAGTTTTGGTTTTGGGGATTTAGAAATGTACGCCTGAAAATTGAATGTGAAATAGAGGTGGGACTTTAGCAACATGACCCTTCCTGCTTTACTTTGGGTCTTTCTGGGACTTTGCAAGATGCAAGGGGACAGAGTGTAGGAAGCTGATTCATACCAGATCAGACCATTGGTCCATGTGGGTCAGTCCCCTGACTGCATCTGCCATCCAGAGCCTTAGGAAGCACCCCTTTCCAGCCCTACCTGAAGAGGCCAGGAATTATACCTGGAGCTCTCTACATACGAAACACATGCTCTGCTCCAGACATATGGCCCCCTGCCAAATTAGAGGTTGCCAAAACATACAGTTGATGTAGGGATATAGCAATTCAACCACAGCTTTGCAGCTTAAGGGAAGGCATCAAGTGCGTTCTTCCACAGCCTGGGGAAATTTCTTTCCTTTACTTTTTGGACTGCAACTTGTAGAAGTCCCCATGCTGGTGGGGGTTTCTTGTAGTCTAAAAAAGTAACTTCTCCAAGCTTTGAGTTCTTTGTTGTGATTGAAATTGATTGTGATCAGCAGCTAAATGAATAGACTGCCTCTTCAACAAGAACCGCACCCAGCTGGACCGGTGGTTCGCATGTCATCCCTGGATCAGCAGACACTGCCTGTGAATGCCAGCTGTTCCTTGCAAGAACTA